CACAATACTTAACATTTTTCAAGATTTCTTTTAATATTGTCATGATTATAAGTTACTCTATATGTTTCTAGTGCACTTACATTGCCTTTTTAATTCTGGCTTCTAATGAGTGATTAATTTGTAGAATGCTGTCTCATATTCATTAAAGATCATTGCTATATGAGCTATAATCTATTTCCTATAAACTGTGATTGTATGCTTTCTGTGTTTATGAGATTTTTATGTTTTCTTAAGTCTCATGTAGAAATATGCATTCAGCCTTTGGGTGCCATTTATTGGTAGATTTTTCTGTCCCACCAGCCAGTTCACAAACATGGAGACTTATTAGTTATGAAACCTTAGCCAGTAGCTTAAGCTTGTTTCTAATGAGCTCTTATAACTTAAATTAACTCATTTCTTTCAATCTATGTTCTTTTATGTGGCCTGGTTAACTTTACTTTGTAATGTCCTTGCTGCTTCCTCTGCATCTGATTGACAACCTCAGCTTTCTTCTTCCCAGCATCCTCTGTGTCTAGTTGTCCCACCTATACCTCCTGTCTAGCTAAGGCCATTCAGCTTGTCATTAGACCAATATGAAGTCACCATGGCAAAAAAAAAAAACCCACATCTTTACAGTGTACAAAAAGATTCTTATACAACACCCTAAAAGTAGTACAGGTAGTATATCTCTAGAATGATCTTCTTAGAAGAAATGAGTACCCCGGAGTTTAGTTTTAATGAAATTATGCTTGCTTCTGCAATAGGGATTGTATTACACCAGAAAACTTTCTTTTCAAATTGTACTAGGCTTAAGTACACTGGGAATAAACTGCCTATTATTAGACTCCCCCAAATCTAGTCCAGGTTGGTAAAGCCAATCTATACAGTATTTTCACTCTTATTTCTTTGTGCAGTAAAAAACAATGACATATTGAATTTTGCATGCAAATGGATGGAAATAGAAAACACTATCTTAAGTGAGATTACCTAGACCCAAAAAGATGAATATTGTATGTATTCACTCATTAGTGGACTCTAGTCATAAACAAAGGACACTGAGGCTATAGTTCACAAGGCTAGAGAAGCCAAATAATAAGGTGAATCCTGATAGGGGAGTTTAGCCAATCACATTCTGTTTTGGGGGCGTGCCGCTCTCAGGCTAAAGCCTGCCTATAAACCTAGTAAGCATGCTCGCTAGCCCCCCCCTCCTGCGTCCAGACAGATCGTTTGGACTCTGGTGTAAGCTGTTGTAAGTCTTACTTCTGTTTATTAAAGCTGTATATTTTGTATCAAGATAGTCTGGGGACTTTTCATTACCAGTCGTCCTGCGGCTTCAGAACCCAAACAAAAACATGTATAAATCCTACTGGAAATTGAAAGAAGAAAAGATCACCGGGCAAAAGTTGGGAACATGGGGGTGGGGGGTGGGGGTGTGGTGGGGGTAAGGAAAGAGTGGGAGAGAGAAGGGTGAAGGGAAGGATTGGGGAGAGCTTGGGGGAGTGGGAGGGTTGATGGAGGAAGGGCGGATATAGGAGCAGGAAAGAAAATATCTTAATTAAGGGAGCCATTTTCGGGTTGGCAAGAGACTTGGCTCTATAGGGGATCCCAGGTGTCCTTGGGGATGTCCCCTGCTAGGTCCTTGGACATCAGAGGAGAGGGTGCCTGAACTGGCCTTGTCCCATAGTCACACTGATGAATATCTCTAATATTACCATAGAACCTTTGTCAGGAAATGGATGGAGATAGAGACAGAGACCCACATCAGAGCACTGGACTGAGTTCCCAAGGTCTAGTTGAAGAGCAGAAGGAGGGAGAAGATGAGCAAGGAAGTTGGACCTTGAGGGGTTGGTCCACCCACTGAGACAGTGTGCCTGATCTAATGGGAGCTCACCAAATCCAGCTGGACTGGGACTAAACGAGCATGTGATCAAACTGGACTCTCTGAATGTGGCTGACAATAGGGGCTGAGTGAGAAGCCATTGATAATGGCACTGGGTTTTGATTCTACTGCATGTACTGGCTTTTTGGGACCCTAGTCTATTTGGATGCACACCTTACTAGGTCTGGATGGAGAGTGGAGGGCCTTGGACGTCCCACAGGGCAGGATATCCTGCCCTCTCTTAAGACTGGAGGGGGAAGGAGGAGGGTGAGTGAGGGAGTGGGAGGGGAATGGGAGGAGGGGAGGAAGTGGAAATTTTTGAATGAAAATATAAAAATATAAAAAAAGAAATTTTCATTACATTGTTAAATCAGCTGTATAGGTACAATATCTTGAAGAAGATTAGAAATGTAAATACAGTAAGTTCTAACAAAAATAATCTTAAATTTGCATCAACATATAAAACTCCATATCAATGTATAATATTTAAAACTAGTAGTTGCATTTTTGGTTTAAAAGTAGATTCAATAATTTATCCTTATTCTATTATATCTATATTCCCCTTTTTTCTCTTTAAAACAAGAACTCTGAATCTAATCTCCTTTGATTAACTTTTTTCCTGACCATTACCAATAATAACTTGTAACCAACCACCCCAAAGAATGACAAATGTCCATAACCCATTGAATAACCAAAAACCATCCATCCCACCTTTTAGGAATGTCAGTGCCACGTTCTTAAAATTACCTCCTGCCTTCTTGGGGATGACAGCATCTTTAGGGACCCTGAAAAGAAAATTTTAGGTTAATTGTCAAGTCCCGGAAGAGTTAGGTGTATCATTTGTCCAGTCTCTGTATAACGGGAAAGTGTAGGGCTTGTCCCAAATTCTGGCTAAAGTAGTATGTGTGGCTGGATCATTTCATGGAGCCACCTCAAAATAGTCCTGAACAGTTTGTAGTCTAAAGTGGATCTTTAAGTGGTGGAATCATCACAATGGGGCCCCATCATCTTAATGGAGACTCATCACTCTGATCTTTAACTTCTCAGATACTGGCTCAAGTGCAAAATGTTTTCTCAGTATCAATAACTGAGTAGAACACTGGAGTCATGGAAGCAGCATCTTTTGCTGTTAAAGTCCTACTCACCTGTAGTTTCTATGCTACTGAGTGTTGGGGATGGTTACACTTTTCTGCTCTTTACCCTTGTCCAACTTGGAAGAGTCTTTCAAGTCCTCATATAGAGTATTGTCCAATGCCTATAAATGCATTTACACAGCCACATTATCCCATTTGTGCAAACAGTCTCTTCCTTTTCAAACTTATGGCAATTTGAGGAATCAAGTGCTAAATTATTCCTCCCAATCATTCCCACTATATGTCACACTACACTTCCCCAGATTTTTATAGAGGTTCAAAACACAAAAGGATACCCACATCCTAAGCATTAGACGTCAATTCCCAAAGAAAAAATTCTCCATTTGAATAGAAAGTATTGAAGATGACAGACAGGAGCTGAGTAATTTCTGACTGAAAGGCAAAGGTCTCCATTTCCTTTTTTGTCATACAAGGATGAAAGGATCATGTATTACCTTCACAGCTTAAAATAAAAAAGAACATCTCTTATAATTAAGTCCGTATTCAGAGGTACAGTTCACACAGATTCTAAGTCCCAACCAAGGAGAGCTACCGTTTTTAAAAACGACCTTGAAGCTACACTGAGAGGGAAAATCAAGAGTGGAAAAAAATTATAAAAGATGGTTCTTCAATACATGGAAAGTCAGAACTTCTGAGTGGTATTTTAGAGTTTCGCTATGTGGTTTGGAACTTCCAACATTGGTTGATCTACGTTGGAATAATCATGAATGAATCAGAGTTAAGTGGATTAAGAATCACCATGGAACCCTGTTCCCTTATAATTGGGAAAGTCATTCCTTAGAAAATTTTCTTTTGGGAGAAGAACAATCTTTAATAGAAATAGCAGTCATTTCTGTGTGTTGCTCCATGTGGGGCATAAGCCTATTGTAAGAAAGTACTGTTCCATCCAGCAGGAACAAGAAACTCAAGGGCACAGTAGTGGAAATGTTGGAGGGGTAATTAAATCAGGACATAGTCTATGAGGTAAAAGTTCCTCCATGACAGCTCACTTTTCACACTGCATTAATCTTAACACGTAAACGGTGAACCCAGCCCCCCTAGTCACTGCAAAGCATGTGTGGGCAGCAGCCACACAGGGAGACAGGCTATCCTATACCCTCCCACTACCAAGCATCTGGCCCCAAAAATCTGAGCTCTAAGGTGTGTGTGGAGGGGGAAGGCTTCAATCTTCCTGCTCCACTGAGAGTGTAGAAAAGATCTTTACAGGGAAAGAGCAATGGGTTCAAGCATCCCTGCCGCCCCCTGTAAGGCCCCCAAATCCAAGCACGTTGAGAAAGGTGTTCAGGACAGGTGGTAGGACTCTAGGCTGTCCTGTGACACCCACTGAGCATTACATTATACTACCGCGCAGATGCCTGGAGCACTGTATGGAAGCAGAGGGTAAACACGACAGCGTTCAGGGTTCTGGGCTCCCACATGCGGCTGCGGATCATTGGCCACCCGAGCCTCCGCCGCTTGCGCTGTGGATCCAGTCGCCCGGGTAGACTCGCAGCGGACTCACGCCACTGTCAGCCACGAACAGTTGCGACGCTCCGGGTGTGTCATCCCGATGCTGTACGGAGCCTTTGGGACGGATGCAAGCATGAGGAGGCTCCGGAGATGTCAGTGGCGGAAAGCAAGGTAGCAAGAGAGGATGGGGCGCTTCCGGACCACACAGCAAATGAAGTCCGCAGTGGTGTCTGGAGCAAGCACTCCCCCTTGGATTGGGTCCTCCTTTAAAAGGCAAAACACATCCCAGCACTTGGGAGGCAAAAGCAGGCAGATCTCTGTGAGTTCGAGGCCAGCCTGGTCTACAGAGCTAGTTCCAGGACAGGCTCCAAAGCTACAGAGAAACCCTGTCTTGAAAAACAAAAAACAAACAAAAAAGGCAAAGCATAGGATCCTCCAAATCTGCTTTAAAGAAGTTGGATCATATCGCTGCAACTGCCCACCTCCTTGACGTCCTGACCTGACGTCACGGCCGCACGTAGAGAAGGAGGCGGGGCGGAGCTGGAGAAGGGGTTTGAATTGGCCGAGACTGCTTGGCGGTTTCCGGCTGAAGCTGCGGCGAAACTGCCAAGTATTTCCAGCGGTCTCGTGTCGGGTCATGGTGCCAGGTAAGGGAGAACCCAGGGCTCAGCCTTTTCGTACAGAGGGCTGTGGGAGAACGGCCAGGGACTAGGTAGGGGTGGTGCTGGCCAGTATGGCAGAGGTCGTTCCAGGAGCTAAGAAAGTCCTTTGGGAGTTCGGTCCAGGAGTTGAGTGCGGCGTTTTCTGGGGAAAACAATGTAACAGTGAAGAGGAAAGTCTCAACGCTGCCTTCATTTACAGTCTTTCGAAATTAGGAAGGGGCTGGCCTGTAGCTCAAGTAGCAGAGTGCTTGCCAAGCATTCACAGAGCTCTAGATTTGATCCCTTGATCCAGGACGTGGCGGTACAGACCTGAATACCAGATCTTGCTAGGAGAAGGCAGCAGAAGCAGTACAGGGTCATCTTTGGGGACACCTGAAATGCGAGGTCACTGTGGGCTACATTTTGTCCCCCCCCCCACAAAAAAAAAGTGAACAGAAAAGAAAAAAATCTTGGCCATCCTAAATCAGGGCAACCCTCTGGTTGCCTGGCTCCAGGCCTGTCCCTTGTCTGTGACCCTAGCAGGGTTCACTACAGCCCCTCCCCTTTACCCAGGCCCACACTAGAGTCATGTTCAACCCCTAGACCCAGGCTGCCAGCCTTCTAGCCTTTCTAAGGAGTTAAAACTTAGGAGGACACGGAGCTGTGAAGGGGGAAAGTTTATTTACTCAGAGAGCCTCTGAGGACATCTTGTTTTTGTCAGTGTAAAAACACAGTAAATGGACAAAGCGTGGGGACTCAGAGAACAAACAGACATAGAAAGAGGGAGAAAGAACATCATCATATCATATCTACCAGTCAGGCCTGCTACCTCCACCCCCATCCTGTGATTGGCAGAGAGACAGATCTCTCTCAGTCTAGGAGTTTCTTGTGCTTGGCAAGTCAGATCTGTCAGTAAGAACCTGTGCCCCTTGCTATTCTGACCCCTCATTCCCAATTACATCTTCAGAGGCTCCCTCTCTCCAGCCTGGACATCTGGGCTCAGCACAGGCTAGAAGAATGCAGGAGTTGGTTAGAAGAGCAAACTTTTGTATCCCTGCTCAATCCTAGGCAGAGAATGTGATGAGCAGGAAGCAGGCAGGCACCGCAGTCCTGTTCCCATGTGATCTCACAGCTGTCCTCAATAAGAAGAATACGGTTCCCAAAGCCAAGCCAAACAGAAAGGAGGCTCTGGTGATTCCTACCATTTGTTTTCTTCTAGCCCTCTAAGTATAATTGCGTATGCTCATCTCTCTGTAGGAATGCAGAGCTGGTTTCATGTGGGTGTTTGCATCTTTTCCTGTGGTATGACATTGTCTGTGACACAGTTGTAGTATGTGCAGGTTTATGCTGTTTATACCTTGATGGGAATTGTCAACAAGAGTTCGAGATTTTGTTCCAGAGACAGAAATTTGGAGAAGCACAACAAGGAGAATGGCTGCGTCTCCTGTAAATGAGCACCAGGTCAGTGTGGTGTCCGTATATTTCTTTGAAAATCCTGTGTATTGAAGTCAGGAAGACCTTTAGTACTCTTGTCTTGAACAGTATTGTCAGATATGTGTATTTCCTATGACACTTTTTCTCTTCTCTTCTGCTTATCAAAATTCCTTTGAAATCATGTCACCTATGTAGCCCAGCCTTGTTCTGTTTTATCTGCTCTGCGTTATTACTGTGAGGCAAATAGTTTTCATGGACTCAAGACCTACAATTGTGAAAGCGATTCCATTGTGAATGATAATCAATGAAATATATTGATGCCTAATTTCTACAGAGGATGGATCTGTGTCCTTATATATTATTGATGAAGGAAAGTCTGATGTGCTACAAAGGTTACATTTCAGAAATGGTTAAGGTTCTAGAACCAGGATCATCAAAGTGGCCATGCAAGTACATGGAACTTTTGCTGGTGTCACAGAGTGATTTATTGAGAAGTAGACTTAGAAGATGCTTACTCTCTGAATCCTAGTACTAGATATCTCTGCATTATAGAGAGGGGAGTTGATAGATGGGATGTGTGACTTGCTCTTGCTATGACACTGATGCTTATGTGAGGAGATGCAGATTGCAGTATGCTGGTTTCTCTCATTGGCATTTCATATCACTCAAGTGATGATGTGCCTCCAGGTATTTGTTTTTTTTTTCTTTTCTTGTTTTCAGATTTTTAATGTTGATTTTTATTCTTCTCTTATTCAGTTCATCCTGACCAAATGAGGTATTCTTACTCCACTCTTCCCACACCTCCTGTCTTCCTCTTGTGTACTCCTCTGGTTCCCTTCAGAAAAGAACTGGCCTTGAACTCTGAGGGGAGGGACCCAATGGGGATCTCCAGTTTGGTCTCTCTCTCTCTCTCTCTCTCTCTCTCTCTCTCTCTCTCTCATGTTTGACCTTGGATCTCTGGATATGCTCCTATAAACTGCCAGAGGAAGCATCTCAGATGAGAATTAGGCTAGGCACTGGTCCATGAATATAGCAGAATATCATTTGGAACATTTATTTTGTTTGCACTCCAGTTCCAATCCCTCCTAATCCACCTGGAAAATATATTTCACCTCAGGGAGGCCATGAATCCTACTTTGAGCCCTCTTTGTTACTTATTTTCTCTGGGTCTGTGAATTATGCTTTCTTAACATTTATTAACAGCTAACTTTTTTATATACATTTTTAATTGATATTTATTGAGCTCTACATTTTTCTCTGCTCCTCTCCCTGCCTCCCCCCTCCCCACTTCAATCCTCCACAAGATCCCCATGCTCCCAATTTAGTCAGGAGATCTTGTCTTTTTCTACTTTCTACTTCCCATATTAGATCTGTGTAAGTCTCTCTTAGTGTCTGCATTGTTGTCTAAGTTCTCTGGGATTGAGGTTTGTAGGCTGGCTTTCTTTGCCTTATGTTAAAAACCACCTATGAGTGAGTACATGTGATAATTGTCTTTCTGTGTCTGAGTTACCTCACTCAAAATAATGTTTTCTAGCTCCATCCATTTTCTTGCAAAATTTAAGCTGTCATTATTTTTTTCTGCTGTGTAGTACTCCATGTTGTAAATGTACCACATTTTCCTTATCCATTCTTCGGTCAAGGGGCATTTAGGTTGTTTCCAGGTTCTGGCTATGACAAACAAAGCTGCTATGAACATAGTTGAGCACATGTCCTTGTGGCACGATTGAGCATCCTTTTGATATATACCCAAAAGTGGTATTACTGGGTCCTGAGGAAGGTTGTTTGCTAATTTTCTAAGGAATCGCCACACTGACATCCAAAGGCGTTATACCAGCTTGCATTCCCACCAGCAATGCAGAAGTGTTCCCTTTATCCCACAACCTCTCCAGCATAAGTTGTCATCAGTGTTTTTGATTTTGGCCATTCTTACACATGAAAGATGAAATCTCAGAGTTATTTTGATTTACATTTCTCTGATGACTAAGGATGTTGAATATTTCCTTAAGTGTCTTTCAGCCATTTTAGATTCCTCTGTTGAGAGTTCTCTTTTTAGGTCTGTACTCCAATATTTTTTTTGGATTATGTGATCTTTTGGTATTCAATTTCTTGAGTTCTTTGTATATTTTGGAGATCAGATCTCTGTCTGATGTGGAGTTAGTGAAGGAAGATCTTTTCCCATTCTGTAGGTTGTCGTTTTGCCTTGTTGACTATGTCCTTTGCTTTACAGAAGCTTTTCAGTTTCAGGAAGTCCCATTTATTAATTGTTTCTCTCAGTGTCTGTGCTGCTGGGGTTATATTTAGGAAGTGGTTCCCTGTGCCAATGCATCCAAGTGTACTTCCCACTTCCTCTTCTATAAGGTCCAGTGTGGCTGGCTTTATGTTGAGGTTTTTTATCCATTTGGACTAGAGTTTTGTGCATGGTGATAGATATGGGTCTATTTTCATTCTTCTACATGATGATATCCAGTTATGCCAGCACCACTTATTAAATATGCTTTCTTTTTTCCAATTGATATTTTTTGCTTCTTTATCAAAGATCAGGTGTTCGAAGATGTGTGGATTGATATCTGGGTCTTCTATTCAGTTTTATTGGTCCTCCTATCTTTTCTTATGCCGGTACCAGGCTGTTTTCAGTCCTGTATCTCTGTAGTAGAATTTGAAGTCAGGGATTGTGATGCCTCCAAAAGTTTTTTTATTGTTAAGGATTATTTTGGCTATCCTGGATTTTTTGCTTTTCCATATGAAGTTGCGTACTGTTTTTTTGAGGTCTTTGAGGAATTTTCTGAGATTTTGATGGGCATTGCTTTGAATCTGTAGATTGCTTTTGGTAAGATTGCCATTTTTACTATGTTAATTCTGCCTACCTAAGAGCATGGGAGATCTTTCCACTTTCTGGTGTCTTCTTCAATTTCTTTCTTCAAAGATTTAAAGTTCTTGTCATACAAGTCTTCCACTTGTTTGGTTAGAGTTACTCTGAGATATTTTATTTTTCCCAACTCTTTACTCTGAGATGATGTCTGTCTTTGAGGTTGAGATGTGTTTCTTGTATGCAGAAGAAGGATGAATTTTGTTTTCGTATCCAATCTGTTATTATGTGATGAGGGGATATTTTTTTTATTCGGTCTATGTGCTGTTCTGTAAGCTTCTTGTATCTTCATAGGCATATCTTTCTTTAGGTAGGAAAAATTTTCTTCTATGATTTCGTTAAATATATTTTCTATGCTTTTGAGTTGAACCTATAATTCTAAGATTTGACCTTTTTATGGTGTCCCATATTTCATGGATATTTTGGATTAAGCTTTTGTTAGATTTAATGTTTTCTTTAACTGATGAGTCTATTTCTTCTATTGTATCTTCAGTGCTTGATATTCTCTCTTCCATTGCATTCTGCTGTTCATGCTTGCATTTGTGGTTCCTGTTTTTTTCTCATGATTTCTGTTTCTATAATTCCTTCAGCTTGTGTTTTCTTTATTATTTATATCCCAGTTTTCAAGTCCTGAGTAGTTTCTTTTATATGTTTGATTTCTTTTTCTTGGTTTTCTTTAAGTGATTTGCTGATATATTTCAATTTTTTTGTTTGTATTTTCCTCAATTTCTCTAAGGGAATTTCTCATTTCATCTTTAAAAATTTTAAACATTCTCTTGAGATTGTTTTTTAAATCATTTTCTTCTTGTTCATCCATATTTGGTTGTTCAGGTCTTGCTTTTGTAGGGTCCTTAGGTTTTACTGGTATTGTGTTGCTCTTTATGGTGTAGCATATGATCTTACTTTTTCTACTCATCTTTTCCTCAAATAGATGTGGTTGGAGAGATTCTGTTGAATAATCTTCTAGGTGCCAGTGAATCCAAAGCTCAGATGGTTGTTCCTAGTGGTACAGTCAGTGTCACAGTTCTAGTTACCCTGTTGGTTATTCCTGTTCCTGGAGTTAGCTCAGTGCTTCTGTGCTTTGGTCTGCTCCCTTAGAGTTAGCTGTCTCAGGCCTACTTTGGCCTGGGCTACTGGCTTTGATCAGTTTCTGTAAATCTTGGTCTAGATCTCCTCCTGCAGAAGTCCCTGGCTTGGAATTAGACCTGTTCTGGTGGAGATCGCTGACTCTGGATCTGGTTGTTGGCTCAGTCCTGGTCTGCCAGTGTCTCAGGACTGGGTTGGCTCCCAGGACTGGATTTGCTCCTGACTTCTGCTCCTGGTGGAGCTTGTTTCTTCAGGCCCTCTCTGTCCTAGGTGTCTCGTTCAGTTCCACTACTGTGTAATTTAACAGCTAAGTTCTATGTGAGTACATACCATGTTTGCCATACAGGGTCTGAGTTACCTCACTCAGAATAATTACTTCTAGTTGTATCCATTTACCTGCATGTTTCATGATGTGACTATTTTCAATAGCTGAGTCGTACTCCATTGTATAAATGACCCACATTTTCTTTATCCATTCCTCTATTGAAGGACATCAGTTATCACTTTCTGGCTATTATGAATATAGCAGCTATGAGCATATTTAAGTAAGTGTTCTTGTGGAAGGGTGTAGCATCCTTTGGGTATATGCACAAGAGTATTATACCCTTGAGGTAGATCAATTCTCAATTGCCAACTGCCCCTAATCGACTGTCAAAATTTATATCTCCCCTTCCTAGGGAATCTTTGCCTGGGAATTCTCTCATCCATGTATTGATGGTAATGCTTACATCTGTTGTTTGTGTTTGCTTATCTAGTTTTATTTTTAGTTCCAGAATTCTTTCAGTTTCTATTTCCTTTATTGTTTCTATTTCCATTTTAGATTTGAAAAGTTTTATTCATTTCCTTCAACTATTTGTCTCAGGAGATTTCCTGCTCATACCATTTTCTTGATTCTGGATGGCCTGTGGTAATGTCTCAATAGATTATTAATTTCTCTTTGTCCTTCATTTTAGTTTTCAGACATTGTACCACAGTACTAATTTGTAAGCAAAGTGGTTCCCATATGTATATTGCATCTTGTGACATATAGAGTACGGCTTTTCTAGAAAGTGTTGTTTCAGAGCTGTGCACAAACCATCAATTTTCTAGCATCAGTGAATGCCTCTTTTAATGAGTTTCCTCTCTTTTTTTGGAAAGAGGAAAACTCCCTACCATATTGTTGTTCTCCAAAGTTACTGTATTATGTAGGTGAAGCTTCTGAAGTAAGTTTGCAATGGTCAGGTTCCCATTTATTTCTTTTAAATATAATATATTTCCATATATGAATGCTCTTTTTATGTTTTTGTATGTATTACCTGCCTGCCTAATGAACATGGATTCCTGACATTGACACCAAACACTTGGCACTGGAGTCAGTCACTGTAGTGAGCTCCTATGTGTATAGATAGAATTAAACTGGGTCTCTCTGAGAACAGCAAGTGCTTTTTACCACTGAACTGTCCCTTCAGCCTCCAGCTTTACATTTCTCATGGACATTCTTTGAAGGTGGGAAGAGATAACCCTATGTCTTCTTGCTGAAAAATGAAAGAAAAATAATAAATAACACTTCTTTATACAATCTGAAATTCTCTTAGATGTGTGAACTCAAATATTAAAGTAAAAAAGGTTGAAATAGCAAGATTCAAATTTCCAATTGAGCCAATCTCATAATCAGCAAAATATTTAATATCAATGAAGATTTAGTATAATTCTGACAAAATTTGTATATTCTTATTGATCAGAGATCTTTGTACTTCATTTGGTCGCATTGTAACTTAGACCATTTATTTATACAATTTTTTTAACTATTCTGTAGTGCAAACATATATGGAATTTCTAAAATTTTTATCTCTATTGGCATGTGAAATAACAGTACTAATGCATGCTGATTTTTGTATTTATTTCATGGTATTCAAAGTAGTTTCATAGCATCAAAGAGTATTTGACTTTTTATGTATTTTAGAACATGGGATATATGTACTCTCATAAACCTTCCTAATAAGTTAAGAAAAAAAGATCTCATTGAGTTTGAATTCTTCCCTGAACCTGCCTTTCACATTGTTCTACAAAGGGTGCATCATTGAACCTGGGCTTCAGCAACCTAACTGAGTCATGTGAGACTGAGATACAGATTGATCAATATCTGTATTAGAGCAAGACTAAAGTTGAAGCATCTGAAACCACAGTCTTATTCATCATAACTTTTTCATGTGAGATTATCCACTATGATAATGATTGATATCAACATGCCCCTCCATAAAGGTACATCCTTACATCTATACCTCAAAGTTATTTCACATTCCATAAAAGTTTATTGTTTGTAAAATTGCTATGTCATCCTGTTTTCACAGAGATGTAAGAACATAGAGTGTGAGTATGATGTAGGAGGATCATCTGTCTATGTGTTACTTTCATTTGTTAATAAAGAAGCTGTCTTGGCTTTTGATAGGACAGCAGCTTAGATAGGCAGAGTAGACAGAACTGAATTCTGGGAGGAAGAAAGTAGGGTCAGAGAGATCTGCCTGCCATGAAGCTGCCAGGTCAGACATGCTGAATCTTTCCCGGTAAGCCACAACCTCGTGGTGAGATACAGATTATTAGAAATGGGTTGAATAAATATGTAAGAGTTAGCCAATAAGAGGCTAGATATAATGGGCCAGGCAGTGTTTAAAAGAACACAGTTTCCATGTAATTATTTCGGGTGTAAACTAGCTGGGAGCTGGGCAGCGGGAACACAGCCCGCTGCTCCTACTACAAATGGCACCCAGAAAGTATCTTTCTTTAAAATTAACTTTCAATTTTACTTTGAAATATATGCATGAGTGCTATCTATCTCCTGCCTGGAAAGATCAAGAGAGGGCATTTGATGCCATGGAACTGGAGTTATACTGAGTTGTATGGTGGGGACTGAACTTGGGTCCTCTGGAAGAGCAACTAGTGCTTGAAACTGCTCACCCATCTCTGTAGAATCTCTAGAAAACTTTTGTTTTTAAATAATTTTGTTCCTCATCTGTATCCCAAAAGTTTATGTAATTCCCTTTTCTCTGTTATGTAGGAAAGCATTTTGTTCAATAGCACATGGTAAATGGGTAATTTTCCATTACAGGATCTGTTTTCATTCAGGGATCTGGATGTACACTTTTCCCAGGATGAGTGGAAATGTCTGGATTCTGCTTGGAGGACTTTATACATTGATGTGATGTTGGAGAACTACAGAAATCTAGTATTTATAGGTAAAAATGCTCTTCTTGTAGTATTCCTGACTCATTGTTTATATTTACCTTTTCCTTGTGTATTATTTTTAAGTACACTCCCTGAATATTTTATGATTACCAGAAATGATGGAAATTCTGGTAAGAAACATTTATTTCCACGGTGCCTCTTTTATGTTCTCGTGCTTTCTCTGCCAAGAACAACTAATGCTGTATACTGTGATCTCTCAAGCCCTCTTAACTAGCTCTTAACTGAAAATTTCAAAGTTCAAAGAATATTGAAAACTTAGAACATGAAGATACAGTGAAGTACTCTTAGCAACTGGAATATTTTTATTATCCTACTGAATTAAACTTTTCACTTTTTTCTGATTTTTAAAAACACAAAGATGTTTTAAAATAGAGAAAAATGTGGTAGCTATGTTTTTGTTTTTCTATTGATTGATTTTTGAAATCTGGTCTGTATATTCAGCTCTAGTGGATATTATTTTAACTCTAGCCCTAGGGAGGCTGAAGCAAGTGGAACTGGTGAGTTGTAACCCAGCCATGGATAGTATAATGAGTTCCTAGTTAGCCAAAGCTACACAGTATGACTCTGTATAGAACAATCCCCATATGTTCCTTCAAATAGCACCTTTCTCTGTCACCCATTTTTTCCACCTCTTCAGAGTAAGGATAGAAGCCCCTTAATGATCCTTGTGTTTAATGATGACTAGAGTGGTTTATATTACTGTTCACTTAATGATAGTGACATACAGAAGGCCTCTGCTACGAGCTCTACTTCTAGTAAATGCTAGCTACCTTGTCTTAGGAAACTTAAGGGAACATCAGGTATTGAATCTTACTAATAGGATCTTAGTAATATCTTACTAATTTATCAGTTCCTATCAGCCCTATTTGTTCTCATTTTCCAGAGAAACATCGCATATGTGGTACATATGAGAACATCATGGATCAAGGCTCAAAGAATATCCAAAAGAAGCCTTGTAAATATAATGACCTTAGCAAAAAGCTTTATGGATTCTCCCAGTGTTCACCTTATAACACCAGCGATATTGCAGGAAACCATCAGAGAATTCACACAGGAGAGAAACCTTTCAAATGTCCAGAATGTGAGAAATCCTTTAAATATATTTCAGAACTTAGAACTCATCAGAGAATTCATACAGGAGAGAAACCTTACAAATGTACTCAATGTGAGAAATCCTTTAAATATACCTCAGTACTTAGAAAGCATCAGAGAATTCATACAGGAGAGAAACCTTACCAATGTCAGGAATGTGAGAAATCCTTTAAATATCTCTCGGTATTTAAAAATCATCAGAGAATTCATACAGGAGAGAAACCTTACGAATGTCGGGAATGTGGGAAATCCTTTATCTATTTCTCCATACTTAGAACTCATCAGAGAATTCATACAGGAGAGAAACCTTACAAATGTTGGGAATGTGAGAAGTCTTTTACAACTAATACAAATCTTAGAACTCATCAGAGAATTCATACAGGAGAGAAACCTTACAAATGTAGGGAATGTGGGAAATCCTTTGCATGTGCCACAACGCTTAGAAATCATGAAAGAACTCATACAGGAGAGAAACCTTACAAATGTAGGGAATGTGAGAAATCATTTGCATATAGCTCACATTTTAAAAATCATCAGAGAATTCATACAGGAGAGAAACCTTACAAATGTAGGGAATGTGCAAAGTCTTTTGCACGTAGCTCAAATCTTCAGACACATCAGAAAAGTCATGCAGGAGAAAAAACTCATAAATGCAGGAAATGTGATAAATTCTTTAAGTATATATCAGGTCTTAGGACTCATGAGAGAATTCATACAGGAGAAAATCCTTAGACATGTTGAGAAAGTGAGAAATCATTTACATGTGCCTCAACTCTTAAAAAACACCAGAGAATCCATACAAGAGAGAAACCTTGTACTAACTGTCACTAATGCTTTAGCTAGCAGACGCAGCTAAGAATCCATCAGAAAATTCATACTGAGGAGTAAAGATTCTGTTGTAAATGATTTTTGTATGTTTTCTTCAACTCTGCCTTTAAAGATCCACACCAGGAAATATTACAAACATGAGAAAGACTTTATGTAATGTTCAACTCTTAGAATATCTATAGTTTAAACAGAGGAAGAATTCTAAATGTAGAAAAAATTCATTAAAACGTTTTGTTTTTAACCTCATACTGTATAATTTATGCAAAATTGTAAAAACAGGAAGGTGCTGTTGATTAACTCTTTTCTGGAGACTACAACATTTCATTGTGAAGTAAAGGTAATAACACAAAAAATAATGCCTTTATATATCATCGGAAAGTCTGCAAAACTGAAAGGATTTCTTATGCTTAAATTTCTTAAAGAAACTCAGAACTTTAATGCTGCTTAGAAGAGCCTCTGATGAATTGAGCTACCAAGAAATGACACTCTCCAACATGTACATAGACTTATATGTGTGCAGTGTGTTCAGGGCATCCACTGTTCTTACTATGTATCCGAAGTTGGGTTGGAATTTCATGGCAGCAACTGTCTAAGTCCCTTTTACTACTGGAAACAACTCCCTTTACATATTCCTGTAAGTAACCCAAATAAAACTCATTCATTCAACAAGATGGACTTCAGTGACATTCATATTTTGTTCTTTATCTGTATTTCTATTTTCATGAGTAAATATATATGCATACTTCACCTCTTGGAAAACTATAAAACATGTTTTGAACTCATTAATTTTTCCTAAAAGCTTTTACCCACCATAAAATTGTTGTTAGGGATAAAACACGTGGTTCACAATTTTGTTAGATTGATACTTTATTATAAGGCATTAATTAATACACCCTATAAATCCATTCTAGATAATGCCAAGAAATGCATTGAATTTGTCAAAACTAGTGTTAAAATATAGATTCATCTGAAAATTAATCCTAAAGAAAACCCTCTACCCCCATACACACCCCAATGCTAATAGTAAATACTCAACTACAATCCATCTTCACATACTGATTCTAGAGTGAAAGCCTACAAATAGAAAGAATGTGATATTCATTGTCATGTATAACTAGGAAACCTCAGATACATAAAGAAAATTAGTTTATCAGTATTCAATGCCTTTGGAAAATTACTAATCAACTGGTGTGGGAGATTCTTTTGTATAGCTGTTGCTTTTTTTGGTAAATGAATAAAGAAGCTGTCTTGACCCGTGATAGGGCAGAGTAGAGCTAGGTGGGGAAAGCAAAACTTAATGCTGGGAGAAAGAAGGCAGAGTCGAGAGAAGCCATGTAGCCACCCAAAGCAGACAGACATGCTAGAAACTTGCTGGTAAGCCACAGCCACCTGATGATACACAGATAAATAGAAATGGGTTAAATTAAGATGTAAGAGTTAGCCAATAAGAAGCTAGAGCTAATAGCTCAAGCAGTGATTTAATTAAAACAGTTTCAGTGTGATTATCTTGACTCTGGGCAACCGGGAAGCAAACAAGCAGCCTCTGTAACAATCAACATAATTAGCACCTTAATTATGGATGTTATAAAAATACAAACACAGATTTGTAGATATGTGAAAAGCCAGTGTAATACAATTAAGAAATAAATGGAATATCTCAATCTCTCATACATTTCTATAGGTGAGAAATCTTGTTTTTGAGTGACTACAAAAACTGTTTTGAAACATATTTGTATGAGAAGCATTGAATTTCCTAGATATCAACAGAATTGGAAACCTCACCTCCAATATAATCCTGCTGACTGGGTTACAAGTGCTTACAGAATAATGTTCATTTTGTTGCACCATGTCCTGACATACTCTGAAAATATTAGTAGATGACCTCTTTTTTGTCAGTTTTCTTTGATGCCACCTAAGCTGCAGACAAGTTTTCGCAGAGGTTAGATCTTTTTTTGTTTTTTATTGCTTTATAAATAATACCATTCAAAATTTCCACCTTCTCCCCTCCTCCCATTTCCCTCTTGTTCCCCCACTCACCCTCCACTCACCCTCTCCAGTACTAAGAGAAGGCAGGGTATCCTGCCCTGTGTGAAGTTCAAGGCCCTCCTCCCTCCATCCAGGCCTAGGAAGGTATGCATCCAAACTGATTAGGATCCCAAAAAGCCAGTACATGCAGTAGAATCAATCCAGTGTAATTATCATTGACTTCTCAGTCACCCCCCATTATCAGCCACATTCAGAGAGTCCAATTTGATCACATGCTCATTCAGTCCCAGTCCAGCTGGCCTTGCTGAGATCCTATTAGATTAGTCACACCGTCTGAGTTGGTGGACGAACCCCATACGGTCCTGACTTCCTTGCTCATCTTCTCCCTCCTTCTGCTCTTCAACTAGACCTTGGGAGCTCAGTCCCGTGCTCCAATGTGGGTCTCTGTCTCTTATCTCCATCTATCGCCATACGAAGGTTCTATGGTTATATTCAAGATATTCATCAGTTTGGCTATGGGACAAGGCAAGTTCAGGCACCCTCTCCTCAGCTGCTCAAGGACCTAGCTGGGGACATCCCCTTGTATACCTGGGAACCTCTAGAGCCAAGTCTCTTGCCAACCCTAAAATGGGTCCCTTAATTAAGGTATCTTCCCTGCTCCCATATCCGCCCTTCCTCCATTTCAACGATCCTACTCCCCCAAGCTCTCCCCAATCCTTCCCTTCTCCCTTTTTTCTTCCCCTCTCCTCTTCCCCCTACCCCACCTGAACCTCATGCTCCAAACTTTTGCCCAACGATCTTGTCTGCCCCAATTTCCAGGAGGATCTATATATTTTTTTATTTTGGTTCACCTTATTATTTAGCTTCTCTAGACTTGTGAACTATAGGCTCAATGTCCTTTGTTTATGGCTAGAATCCACTAATGAATGAGTACATACCATTGTGTCCCATAAATTTGGGTATATTGTGTGGTCATTTTCATTGAATTTTAGGAAGTCTTTAATTTCTCCCTTCATTTCTTCCTTAACCCATTGATGATTCAGGTGAGCATTGTTTAATTTCAATGTATTTGTGGGTTTTCTGAAATTAATATTGCTGTTGACTTCTAGTTTTAAACCATAGTGATGTGATAAGATACATGGGGTTATTCCAATTTTTTTGTATTTGTTGAGGTTTGTTTTGTTACCGAGTATGTGGTCAATTTTTGAAAAGGTTCCATGAGGTGCTAAGAAACAGGCACCTTTTCTGTTTGGATGGAATATTCTATACATGTCTCTTAGGTCCATTTGAATGATAACATCTGTTAGTTCCCTTTTTTTCTCTGTTCATTTTTTTGTCTGACTGACCTGCCCAGTGATGAGAGGGGAATGTTGAAGTCTCCCACTATTAGTGTGTGGAGTTTAATATAAGATTTAAGCTTTAGAAGTGTTTCTTTTACATATGAGGGTGCCCTTGTATTTGGGGCATAGATGTTCAGTATTGAGATTTCCTCTTGATGGATTTTTCCTGTGACTAATATGAAATGTACTTCTTTGTCTCTTTTGATTGATCTTAGTTTGAAGTCTATTTTTTAGATATTAGGATAGCTACACCTGATTGTTTCTTAGGTCCATTTGATTGGAATATTTTTCCCAATCTTTTACTCTGAGACAATATCTGCCTTTGAAATTGAGGTGTGTTTCTTGTATGCAAAAGAAGGATGGATTCTGTTTTCGTGTCCAATCTGTTAGCCTGTGCTTTTCTCTCTCTCTTTTTTTCTATTTATTAAAAATTTCCACCTCCTCCCCTTCTCCCAATACCCTCCCACTCCCCCCACTCCCTCTCCAGTCTTAAGAGCAGTCAGGGTTTCCTGCCCTGTGGGAAGTCCAAGGTCCTCCCCTCTCCCTCCAGGTCTAGGAAGGTGAGCATCCAAACAGACTAGGCTCCCACAAGGCCAGTCCATGCAGTACAATCAAACCTCAGTGCCAATGTCCTTGGCTTCTCAGTCAGCACTCAATGTTAGCCACATTCAGAGAATCCAGTTTGATCACATGCTCCATCAGTCTTAGTCCAGCTGGCCTTGGTGAGCTCCCATTAGATCAACCCCATTGTCTCAGTGGGTGGACGCACCCCTTATGGTCCTGACTTCCTTTCTCATGTTCTCCCTCCTTCTGCTCCTCATTTGGACCTTGGGAGCTCAGTCCATTGTTCCAATGTGTGTCTCAGTCTCTATCTCTATCCATCGCCAGATGAAGGTTCTATGGTGATATGTAAAATATTTATCAGTGTGGCTATAGGATAAGGACAGTTCAGGCACCCTCTCCTCTGCTGCCCACAGAGCTAGTTGGGGAAATCTCCTTGGACACCTGGGAACCCCTCTAGAGCCAAGACTCTTAGCCAGTGCCTTTTTATTGGTGAATTGAGTCCATTTATATTAAGGGATATTAATGAACAGTGATTGCTATCTCCTGTTAATTTAGTTTTCATTGTTGGTGATGTTAATTTGTGTGTTTTTTCCTTTTTTTTGGAATTTGCTGCTGTGAGACCATCAATTGTGTCTTAGTTGATGAGACCACTTCCTTGGGTTGGAGTTTTCCTTCTGGTATTTTGTGTAGGGTTCAGTTTGTGGCTTGGTATTGGTGAAATCTGATTTTGTTATGGAATATCTTGTTTTGTCCTTCTATGATGATTGAAAGTTTTGCTGGGTATAATAGTCTGGGCTGGCATCTGTGGTCTCTTAATGTCTGCATAACGCTTGACCACAGCCTTCTGGCTTTCACTGTCTCCAATGAGAAGTCAGATATAATTCTGATAGGTCTGCCTTCATATGTTACTTGGCATTTTTCCTTTGCAGCTCTTAATATTCTTTTTTTTACTCTATATGTTTAGTGGTTTGATTATTATGTGATGAGGGAATTTTTTTTAATTCAGTCTATGTGGTGTTCTGTAAGCTTGTATCTTTATAGGCATATCTTTGAGTTGGGAAAGTTTTCTTCTATGATTTTGTTAAATATATTTTCTGTGCTTTTGAGTTAAACTTCTATACTCATTACTCTTAGGTTTGGCCTTTTCATGGTGTCCCATATTTCCTGGATATTTTGGGTTAAGCTTTTGTTAGATTTAATGTTTTCTTTGATAGATGAGTCTATCTCCTTTATTGTATCTTCAGTGCTTGAAATTCTCTCTTTCATGTCTTATATTCTAGTGTTCATGCTTGCATTTATGGTTCTTGATCATTTTCTCATGATTTCAGTTTCTATAATTCCTTCACCTTGTGTTTTCTATATTTTTATTTCAGTTTTCAAGTCCTGGATAGTTTCTTTTATATGTTTGATTTCCTTTGTTTTCTTTGAAGGATTTGCTGATGTCTTCCAATTTTTTGTTTGTCTTTTCCTCCATTTCTTTGAGGGAATTTCTCATTTCATCTTTAAGAGTTTCAAACATTCTCCTGAAGTTATTTCTGGCCATTTTCTTCTGCTTCATCCATATGTGGTGGTTCAGGTCTTGCTGTTGTCTTTAGGTTTTATTAGTGTTATGTTGCTCTTTGTGGTGTTGCATGTGTTCTTACCTTTTCTACTCATCTTTTCCTCTAATAGATGTGTTTGAGATTCTGTTGAATAATATTCTAGGTGCCAGTGAATCCAAAGCTCAGATGGGTTGTTCCTCATGGTACAGTCAGTGCCACAGTTCTAGTTTCCCCA